GGTCAAGTAGGAAGATACCGACCAATCAAGAATGGAAATTTAGACTACTTTCATACTGATACACCATACAATCTCTGTATTGGTGGTTCATCTGTAGTCAATAATAAATGGCAGCCTAATGACAATGAAAATGTCTTTATCAATGAAAAACTCTGCGATGTTAATAATTCGTGCAAATTCAACTATGGTAAGTTGCATCACCAAGTTGAGTCGTCAATTACGCCATTACGCTACGAGATGTATCACAGTTTATAAACAGCTTTATACAGTGATGATTGTTGAAAACTATTCATAGCTAATCTTCATGAATATTAATTGATCTTGCATAAAATAGGCGTTAACTTTAAATCGAATATGACAATACAAACTTCAGGAGTGCGATTATGCCAGGTTGAAATTTCACTTTTTATTAGATTTAATTGAAAGAATGGAATTGGGCGATGCTTTTGCTATTCAGTATCAGAGGGTAATTTCAGCACTCTAATTTAACCGTTATATCGCAAATATGACTCTGCTAAATTGCGTGTTTTAAATGATGCATTTACTTAGATTGTTGAACTTGAGAACATGTGGATTTCACTTCATTATGTCTAACAATGAACGTTTACTTTTTAACGGTCTCTCCACTAAGCGTTAAACAAAATATTGATGCTCGTTGAAAAATGTTCGTTTATTTAAAATGTTGAAATAATAACACGCAGTAGCAGATCTAGGGTACCACAAAATAAATTATAACTTCTCATTTTTAACTTCAAATTATTTTCAGAAAAAAAAAACAATTGGTTTCTAATTTATAAAGATTATAATTTTGCCAATGAATTTGTCTAAAAGGTGTTTAGAAATGTAGTTATACGCCAAAATGTGCTGCACTAACTTGTTTTGTGCTTCTCTAAATCCTAATCTGGTAACACGTAAGTGAAAAAAAGAAAATTACATACTTTATTTCTTGCTCTTACAAGAAGAATATTAACCACTTTTCTCTCAAGTGAATGTTGTGGTGGTGTACATTGTTCTTTTTCTTGATTTGTTTGGAAACATTCTGGAAATATTTTTTAACATTAACGTTATTTTTTAGTTTACGAAAGAAAGATTGAGAACGGAGATGATTTAAATATCCAATGTGATGAATCGTGCTTTAACTGGGTCATTGAAATGCGTTCAGCTGAATTTGGTGTTTTGTTAAAAGAAAGGGGACGAAATTGAAAACCATATGGGATATCTTCGATGGAAAAAGACTGTCTGTCAACGTCAGCGTTGAGTGTTGCGCAAAATCAATGCAACGGAAAGAAAAAATGTTCGTTTACAGTACGGAAGGAGGATTTCTTATCAAGACCATCCAGTTACAGCGAAACATCAACACTACTTGTTTACTACACTTGCAAAACGCCTAAATCAAGTATGAAACAAAATTTTTGTACCGATTGAAAATTGTTCAGAGTAATAGTGGTTGTGAGATTTAGGAAAAATAAAAGGAAATGTGTGTAAAATTGTTTGGGGGCATGTTTTGTTAGATTATGTATAATTTCCTATAAATATAAAAAAAAGGTTCGTAGTATATACGCCTTCTCGAGACGAATCAAGTAAATTTTGACGAGAGCAAACAGAAAAGGCTTCGCTTACGTTTGTCACTCATATGATGACAAATATATCTTAAATTATCGTCGAATTGATGAACTAGATAGTCTTCATTAATTATAAATTAATTTGCAAAATACATACATACGCAAAATAGAACATACGCAAAATAGAACAAAATTTACAAATAAGTTTTCATGTAGCCGAAATTTTCAAATACCTCAAAGAATTATTTGTAGAATTCCTCAAGTATTAAACATAATGCTTCTTAAATGAATAACAATCGTCACGCAAAAAACAAAAAAGTTCACCCAACCGAAAAAAAGATACGGTTAGTTCCTTAAGAACTAAACGATCAAAGTTTAAAAGAAATGTAGACATGGTTGCCATAACAACGCAAACAATTTTCCTATTCAAACCACTGATCTCGAAATAAGACTGGATCAAGCATCCAGCACAAAAATTTAAGAAAGAAAATGACGAGCGCCGCCATTACTAACGGACCAACTTTCGAAAATAAGGAGCAAATATATTGTGGATTTATACGAGAATAATCAACAATTTTCAACATGTAACTGCATGAATATAACTGCAAGATAAATCAGTTTATAGAAGAGCTAAAAATACAACGAAATATGATGAAACATGATCAAAATGCAGCAATTTTTGTCATGAGTAACTCTACTGTGAATAAATAAAAACAATGGAAAAAAGCCCACAACTGCATAAAAATACCTAGAGTTGCTGGAATCGTAGTTCAGAAGTACAAACTCAATAAATGACCTCATTTACGATCATTAACTGTTCAATTTTACATTTAGTAAAAAAATCGTGCATGCGTTTTTTTACGTCGTTACAATTCAGCTATCTTACATGTCAAATCTTATACGAATGATACGAATATTTCATAGGATTATAGGAAAAAGGATTTTATAAACATAAGTGATAAAGAATGATCAAAACATTCAACTATTATTGAAAATATGACGTTTTAGCCAGTTGAAAAACCGAAGCGTGAAGTAGATGTTTGTTGTGGACTACTATTCACTTGTGGTGTATTCAGCCTGCTAGTTTCGTCGTTCTATGTAAATAATTTGGTGTTCGCTTACAACAAAAACATCAGGTTTTTAAAGAAAAAACTGCACTAATGTTACGAATTTTACAGATCACTACAAAACAAACAGTTAGGCCGCATTTCTAAGAACACAGTCGTATATATTACGTTAAGACCAACATAATGTTTAAAATTTCATTAACTTGTCAATCGGCCTTGCATTGATTGCGACATCAAACGCTACTCAAAAGCAAGAACAGCTGGTTTCAACGCTGAAAGTGTCGTTGTGAAACCATGCAGCTGTTACCTTTGTAAACATTATTTTTCTTTGCCTTACAGGTTTATCGTGTGATGTTTTTAGAGACAAACCTTTAGAATGTGGAAATAATGTACAACTGCAAGATCAATGTCCAAAAACATGTTGCTTTAACCACACAGTAAATCCTCCCTGTTATTTTAATATAAAAGGTATAAAATACCATTTGTTGCTCCTGGACTTATGTATAGTGTAAAGCTACAAGAAATTTGCTTTTGACAAAAAATTTTTTGCTCGTCTTTACCCACGAAGTTCTAATTTTTTCTTCTGTTTCACATCATAGAAGTATTATTTCTGTAGACTTGGGTTTATGAATTTTCGTTGGATTGAAACAATGTGTTTCACTTTTTTATTTTCGTTTAGGAAGAGATTTTACGTTATTTTCAATGTTCTTATTTTGCATTTTACAATTGCATTTACAAGTTGACATATCATTTTGATTGGTGGGGGGTATCAATGTTTGAATGAAAACTTTACATTAAAACATGATAAAACAACATATCGCTGAAATTTCTTTTTAGGCTATGGTCCTATTAAGCACGCAAACGGACTTTGCATAAATGTACAAGGTACACAACGTCTCATTTGGTCAAGGGACTGTACTTCAAGAAATGCTTTTTTCCTGTTCTCATATGACTATCCACCATATCACGTGACTACAGGAAAATGTATTTTACCATCCAAGTGAGTTTATGTATTTTTTTTAAATTTGTTTAACAAACAGTTTATTGCAATGTTACTGGAAGAGTTTCTTTGTTTATCTAATAATGAATACTTCAAAATCATTCATCTAAAAATGACAACTAGTTCCAATAAACGCACAAATAGTTTTTAAACACCCTTATATCGCCCGCTTTCTGGAGAAAAAATGGACGAGGCTTCGTAAAGTACAGAAATGATTACAAGCTTCTTATTCAATATTTGGAGTTTAGACAAGGAATATTGTCTACACCGTTATAGAAGATAAGTTCTAAAAGACAAGTTAAGTGAGCACGGTGTTTCAATTGGCAAAAGAGAAGTTTTCTTTTTGACCAATCACAAGTAATGACAAAGCAGATTCGGCCGCACGAACTAAGTGCAGTAAAGAATACACCCAACCTAAAGAGTGTTTCTATAAAACTCAGCGAAACTGCATTATGCTTCTAGCAATGATTCTGCAGAATGTGCTCATCAAGCGTTCATAACTTTTCCACACTGTAAGTTGTTATGTTGTCATTGTGTTATGACATTTACATGTCATTATAAAATTCTTGTATTTATTAAATTCACTAATCAAAATCCAGAAAATTTTAATTCTTTCTGCCTGACAATTACAGTAAACATGACCAACTTTGTATTGTGTACGAACATGGGAACACAACGGAATAACTTTACTTGAAAACTCATGAATGTTTCGTAATTTTTCCTCAAAAAAAAATTCTGTAGTAAAGTCTTATTATTCTAGGCAGAAATGGGGACGTGAACTTTTTGCCACATGGTTGTTGGTTTCAGGGTTGGGAGCTGGGGTTATTCAATTCTCGACTCGATTATTTATTTCAACTCATTTTTTAGTGCAATTCTTGGAGAAAAAAAGCTTCCACGCTTTTTGAGTAAATTTCCTTAAAATTTAAATTAAAGATAGCAATTGCCATCTGATTGTTTCCCAAAATAATCTAAGAGCTCTAAGGTTATTTTTGAAACTTACCATGTCACTTGCTGTCTTTAAAACAAATTTTTAGATATGTCACCACGACAAAAATTGTATATTAACATTAAAAAAAGTGTCATAAGTTCGAAAATGTTTTTGGCTTTGGTTTGTGTCCATATCAAAGTTTTGTTCTTCTGCATTTAGTTTGTATTAATTTTTTATATAATATTTTTGTTCAAGAAATTGAGTAGATCTGAAATTTCAAAGGATATAATTAGGCTCGCACAAATCGTAATTTTTGATCTTTCGTGTTTTATAGAAGCGATAAAATGAAAAATGAAAAAAAAAACTTTCTTTAAAACAACGTTTTTGAGAATCAACGTTTTCAATATGTCGCTAACTTATCAATTTACGTTTACTTATTATAGCTTGAATCTTGGTGATCCTGGGAACAACGTTGAACTTTTACTAACAGGGAGTAGATATTGCGGCGGTCCAATAGGAAGATACCGACCAATCACGAATGGAAATTTAGACTACTTTCATACTGATACACCATACAAAATCTGTATTGGTGGTTCATCTGTAGACAATAATGAATGGCAGCCTAATGACAATGAAAATGTCTTTATCAATAAAAAAGTCTGTGATGTTAATAATTCGTGCAAATTCAACTATGGTAAGTTGCATCACCAAGTTGAGTCGTCAATTACGCCATTACGCTACAAGACGTATCACAGTTTATAAATAGCTTTACACAGTGATGATTGTTGAGAACTATACATAGATTATATTCATGAATAACAATTGAATCTTGCATAAAATAGGCATCAACTTTGACTCAATTCTTTAGTGTAATATCGTTAAATCAAATGTGACAATTCAATATCAGGAGTGCATATATGTCAGGTTAAAATTTCACTTTTTATTAGATTCAAATGAAAAAATGAAATTGGGTAATACTTTTGCTATTCACTATCAGAGGGTAATTTCAGCACTCTATTTTAAGCGTTAGGTTGTAAATATGACTCTGCTAAAGTGCGTATTTTAGACGATTCCTTTACTTAGATTGTTGAACTTGAGAACATGTAGATTTTGCTTCATTGTGTCTCTCAATGAATGTTTGTTTTTTAACGGTCTCTCCAATAAGCGTTAAACAGGAAACTGATGCTCGTTGTTGAAAAATGTTCGTTCATTTAAAATTTTGAAATAATAACACGCAGTGGCGGACTTAGGGTACCACAAAATAAATTATAACTTCTCAATTTTAACTTCAAATTGCTTTTAGAGAAAAACTATTGGTATTTAATTTATAAAGAGTATAATTTTGCCAATGAATTTGTGTCAAAGGTGTTTAGAAATGTAAATATATTCCAAAATGTGCTGCACTAATTTATTTTGAGATCCGCGACTGATAACACGTAAGTGCATAGGAAAGTAGTTTGCAAGTTACATCTATTGTTGGAAATAACTTTGTAACCTTCGCTTGTGGTTTTTATATACATTAATTAAATTACATACTTTATTTCTTGCTCTTACAAGAAGAATATTAACCACTTTTCACTCAAGTGAATGTTGTGGTGGTGTAGATTGTTCTTTTTCTTGATTTGTTTAGAATATTCTGGAAATATATTTTAACATCATCGTGATTTTTTAGTTTACGAAAGAAAGATTGAGAACGGAGATGATTTAAATATCCAATTTGATGAATCGTGCTTTAACTGGGTCATTGAAATGCGTTCAGCTGAATTTGGTGTTTTGTTAAAAGAAAGGGGGCGAATCGAAAAACCATATGGGATATCTTCGATGAAAAAAGACTGTGTGTCAACGTCAGCGTTGAGTGTTGCGCAAAATCAGTGCAACGGAAAGAAAAAATGTTCGTTTACAGTACGGAAGGAGGATTTCTTATCAAGACCATCCAGTTGCAGAGAAACGTCAACACTACTTATTTACTACACTTGCAAAACGCCTAAATCAAGTATGAAATAACCTTTTTGTACCGAAGAAAATTGTTTGAAGTAATAGTGGTGGTGAGATTTAGGAAAAATAAAAGGAAATGTGTGTAAAATTGTTTAGGGGAATGTTTTGTTAGATTATGTATAATTTCCTATAAATATAAAAAAAAGGTTCGTAGTATATACGCCTTCTCGAGACGAATTAAGAAAATTTTGACGAGAGCAAACAGAAAAGGCTTTGTTTACGTTTGTCACTCGTATGTTGACAAATATGTCTTAAATTAACGTTGAAGTCATGAACTGGATAATCCTCATTATTTATAAATTAATTTGAGGAGGCTCCCTACAGTTACTAAGCAGGAGAGAGGTAACAATTTTCACACGCATATTGTGCCCATGTCGAGTGGTTTGTTTTTACGTAACTATAGCCATCTTCTTCTTTGTCATTTGTAGTGATTACAACGACACAGGCAATGCAAATCATTACGTCATTCAAAAGTGACACCTTATCGGAAGCTCCAAGCAAAAAAGCCACCACAGCAGATCACGAAACTATTTTTAAAAAAGAAAAAAAATGTAGTGCTAGCACCAAAAACAACTTTTACTTAGGTATTAAAATAACCCCATGGATTCTATTTTTATGCATTTAGTTTTATGATTGACGGAAACCGCGGAAGATTGATAGTTAGAGTTGCCCATTAATATATACCCATATTAATTTATACCCATGTTTTAATCGGTATAGTGAAAAGTGAGAACTACAATAGTGTTATGAATAGTTTTGTTTTCTTTAGTTGCAGGCGTTGCAATTGGTGCTGTTCCATTCATTGTTCTGATTGTTGTCTTTTTAATCTGGTTTGTATTTTGTAATTTTTGTCAATCCTAACAGACCAAAATTTCTTTTAGCAACATTCATCAAATTTGTGCTAAGGTGTAATTCTTTCTAACAAATCTTTTCTACACATTTTTTTACTTTTACACAGGCCAGGGACAACCCCCGAACAGGAGGTGTTTTTTTTATATTTTCAGTGTTGCTCTCAAATTCAGAAAACAAATCCACTTAAAAAATAGATGGGCATAACATAATAAATGAAAACTAACCCCGTCTCTATTACTGATGCAACAACGCCCTCCTTTTACATGATTGTTGCACCTGGTGATTTTACCTACCAAATATCTTGTATGTTTTTAAAACTTTGTTCTGGTCCTATGTTATGTGCGGTTTTGAATTTATAAAAGCAATGGATAAGAATATTCAATTAAACTACTGTAATCACGCAATCCAGTCCTTCATTGCTTTGCCATTCCTTCAAAATAAGTACCATCGCATTTTTGTAACTAAAGATTTCAAATTTCATCATGTAATAAAAACTGCAGTTTTTCCTTGTTAATATTTAATGACGCAAAATGTCAATGAAAATCGTCTGGTTTTCATAGCAGAAAACGTCGAAACCGAAATCTTGGCAATATGTTCATGGAACGCGTTCTCTATAAGAAAAGAACAAAAGATGAAAAACGTTTAACAGTTAGCCATGACGAAGAGTGCGTAAAACAAGATTTTAAAAAAAATCAAAATGTTGTTACGGTAAGGATCTACTGTACTCTTCAGAAACCTTAGAAAAAAGGTTATATGTCAACTTATTGTAAAGTAAATGTTTTCACTGCGTTGTTGTAAACACCACACGTAACTGTACGCTAAAGTTGCATAGGTAAATTTCTTTGATAACGTTGCTCTCATAAGTATATCAGTCTCATCTCAAAGTTTTCCTCGCAATCACCATTTACTTTAACTGTTTTCTTCACATTTCTCTGTATTTTCCTTTACTATCGTTTCCTCTTTTCCATCTACTACACCGATATTATTACTTTTTCCCTTTACTGCACCATAAATTGCATTCTAACTCCACCGTTTTTCTGTATGTTATTAGAAAAGCAGTAAGAAACTTCAATCAAAGTCTAAACCGCAAGAAAGCCTTCAAGATTCAACTTACGAAGAGTTAGACTTGTCAAAATTGAACGACACAATGACAATCACCAGTCATTGAATGCAAACGAAGAAAACACAACATATCAAGAATTGGATGTAGCACAAATGAATAAAGAAGATGACTATCAGGCACTAAACGCAAACGAGGGAGACACAATTTATCAAGAGGTAGATACAACGCTAATGAAGGAAGAAGATCACGATTACATGTCAATGACAAAAAAATAAAAGAGAAGAAAGCAAGAGGTTTACGAAATGAGGCATTTAAAAGTAACGATACAGATATCTTTCTAATAATATGTAAGTTTTAAAATATATTTCTTCTTCCTGTTCTTTTTTTCTCGTACCTTGAGTATGTAGAAATAAGAATTTATTGCTGGGAGAAAAAGGCATCTATAAATTTGATTCAATTTTCTTTCTTAATCATAACTATTCATAATTGATCACGGCCTACTATATTGGTGTTATACACATTTATACACATTTAATGTACATGCAGAATATAGATGAATTAGCTCATAATTATGTAAAGCCTTCTTTTTTGTTTTATATTTAAGAGGACATTAAACTGTTTGCTTCAAAAAATGTTTGTTCAAACTAAATTGTTAACACCTAACAAAAATGTAGAAAAATAATTTCAAAAAGAAATGTTTACGCTATTCTTGTCGTTAGGGGGTTTCTTATACCATTTTATGCAACCTTTCTACGTTTTTAAGAAATAATGAGACACACCACAACTCCTACAATTAAAGTGTCTTCTAATTTGCATATCATTCAGTTCTTTTCTAATTTCGTTTAGTTTGTGCTCAACTACCGCAGTTTTATGTGAGTTACTTTTTGGTACCGGTGGCGCCTAAATTTAATCTTCTTGTGCAATTCTTAATATTTGGCCTGTTGGTCATATTAAGGCAGGTACATTAAATGAGCAAACTGCAGGATTTTCACACTCACCATTGGATATGAGAGGGAGTGAAAAAATGGGAATGTCGTTTCTGGAAAATGCGTTCTGTGCAATATCAATTTAGGTCTATTGTCATGTGATACTGTCTGTACCAAATAATAATTGATAATCCATACTCGCCCGTTCACATTTAGCATGCAGCAAATGTATTCATACACTAAGTTAATTTTAAAATAGGTCCAATACAAATGCTCTATTTTTGGGTCTACGTTGCGTAGCAACCAAGAGGCATTGCAGTTACTCGTTTATTCTTCTAGCTCAACTATCAAATCACTCAATTGTAGCGTATATCCGTTTGATAAGCAAATATTAAGGCGTCGTGTGGATGATGTATGATAAATTTATTTGAAAATTGTCAAAATTTTGTCAATTTTCTGTCCAAAAAAGGACAAAATTCCGGAACTTTTTAAAGCCAATGTTGTATATGAATTTAAGTGTCCTGGTTGTGGTCATACATACATAGGCAAAACTAAACGAAACCTACACTTAAGACTAACCCAACATGCTACTAATTACAACAATTCTAGTGCTATCTCGCAACATTCACTCATTTGTCCAGACGCCAACTACATCTCACACCTTTTCTCACTTCATGACTTTGACTCCGACACCGATCTTACACGCTTGCCATTTAATTCTTGTAATTTGATTCCAAGTAACACCAAAATCTTATATCGCTGTAAGAATAATAATCCTAATCAACTTCTCATCTTAGAAGCGCTTTTGATAAAACGCAATATGTCATAACTTAATTGTGCTCTCAAAGCTTGAAAGAAATTATCTCTACTTTAAATGTAAGTATACTGCCAAATTGTTGAATCTCTTTGTTCTCTAATTACGTAACTGTTACATTGCTTGTAAATAATTATATAAAATTTTCGCAGCCTGCATTGTAAACTATGAGTCTGATGATATCTTTGGAAGAAAGACGAAATATTACACCATCTTTTGTTTCAAACTCTTGTATTATCTTTAAAATCAAGAAAACAAGATGTCCGTTTTCGGAATTTGTTTTATTTTGTTTTATATAACAACCCGGTAACGAATCTAGGCGCAACCCGGCAGCACGATCACAGCGAGCAGTAGCGAGCAAAATAAACCAAAGCTGCTTGATTTTAAATTCAAAGCACTTTCAGAAAAGCACTATTGGTTTTGAATTTCTAAAGAATATCGTTTCACCAATGGACTTGTCTCTGAGGGGTATAGAGCTGTAAATACATTCCAAAATATGCAGCAGCAATTTATTTTGACTAAACCTAGATCAGCCACTGTAACCACCGTTAAACGTCAAGACAACATCTTTGAAATTAAATGTAGCAAGTTAATGTACTAACTAAAATAAATTACTTACATATAATCATAGCATCATCTACTTCATGTTAAAGCTCGGTGTTATACACCGTACTAGGATACTGTTCAAACAGGACATATTTTATTGACTAAATGTCTTGCTCTTACGCTACTCTTCATTTATATCAATATTTAGTCTCTTAACTCTTATCTACGCTTTATTTAAGTCATCTGTAATGTTGTTAATCGCCAAAAATCTTTTTCTGTCGACTAATATAGCACTTCTATAGACTGCATTTCCAAATAAAATTTTAGATGTGACACCACCCTACACCAACCCATATGTATGGTCCAGCATTTTAGTGTATTTGGGCCTGTTGGTCATACGGAAATTATTAAGTCACTGGTTTTCAAGTGGGTATGGGGTTTCCACGATCGACGATTTTCTAAAACTAGCTTAAGACATATTTCTTACAACCGAAACAAGAGCAGAATTAATAATCCATTGTTTCAGGTGCTCTTCAACACAAGGTTAAAAAATTGTATTGTCATTAACTTTATTCTACCGATGATGTTAAAACATTGTTACTCTTAAAGCGGAAATTGGAAGCCAGCCCCTTTTTTACGTCGACACTTTATGTTGATGAAACGTTGATCTCAAGAGGTCGTATTCTTTCTGCCCTTATAGAACCTTTCTTATTACATAACTATTGCCCTGAGACATAGGCGATTGAACAAATCTAAGCTTCGTTTTTATTGTAGAATTTGTTGTATCGTCTGTTTCT